CTCGCACAATACGGAGAATGAGGCCTTATGTGAGACGGAGGGCGGAGCCTCGCGCGAGACGGAGATCGGACTCCTTGCCGAGGCCTTCCGTGAAGAGCCTCGCGCGAGGCGGAGATTGTGTTCCCCGCCGAGGCCTTCCGTGGAGAGCCTCGCGCGAGGCGGAGATTGCGTCAGGACGCCGAGACCTTCTGCGCGAGGCTCGAGATGAGGCGGAGAGCCTGGCGGGCTCGGACGTGGCGGGTGAGGGGCCCACGGCTTACCTTCTAGCTTTGTATTTTGATGGGACTTAAGTGACCCCTTTGATGTTCGCTCGGGGTACCCCGTCCTAAGGTACCCGACAGTATACTTTTGTGAACATAGTCATATCTATTACTATACTATTATTATATTACATTACTACTTAAAAAATAAGAATGGTTATCATCGTATAATCACCCCGCTCCCTGCTCCCCTGCGCCCGTGAAAAAGGCAAGATTGAAAAAGTAGGAATGAGAAATAAAGTAGGAATACATATGCAAAACAAATAAATGGGAAATACATTTTTTTATAGACTGTGTTTGGATGAACCAAAAAAAACAGGAAAGAGAAAACAATGATGTTTGAATGGATGTTTGCTTTTTAGTTTTTCTGTGAAATATGTTTTTTCTACAAGTGATACCTACGAACCAAAGGACTCTACGGTAATAATTGAATGTATAAGAATGAGAATCGTATGTTTTTCCTACGATCGAAAGGGGGCAAAGTTGATCCCATGTGGATAATATGTTTTTTCTACAAGTGATACCTATGAACCAAAGGACTCTATGGTGATAATTGAATGTATAAGAATGAGAATCCTATGTTTTTCCTAGGATCGAAAGGGGGCGAAGTTGATCCCATGTGAATAATCCTAGAATTTGTCTAGTCAAGACCGTTAATTCGATATAAGTAATGATGTAACATATACATATATATATATATATATATATATATATATATATATATGTATGTATGTATGTATGTATGTATGAAGAGTATATTCAGTAGCCAGCTACAAAATAAGTTATTCTGTAGCCACCTCCATTTACGATAATTTTATATATTAATTTACGATAATGTCAATACATATTTACGATAGTTGAGTTACTATAACACATTGGATATATATACACTAGCAAATATGCCCGTGCATTGCAACGGGAGAAATATTATTTTTTCATGAAAAACAACTATTGAAATGGTACATATTATTTATGTCTTATCATTCTATAAAATTTAAAGTTATAATTTATTTTATGATGATAGTAACATCTATAATATAAGCTAATATTGGTAATTTTATGACATACTCCCTCCATCCCAAATTGTAAGACGTTTGACTTTTTTGGCCTCAAGTTTGATCACTCGTCTTATTCAAAAAATTTGTGTAAATATAGTCAAATTTAAGTCATTCTTGAAGAATTTTTATTAATAAACCAAACCACGACGAAAGAAGTGATATTTTACATAAATTTTTGAATAAGACGAGTGGTCAAACTTGGTGTCAAAAAAGTCAAACGTCTTACAATTTGGGATGGATTGAGTACCCTATTAAGTCTGCATCAATTTAACATACAATCTTGATAGATTTATTTATGTTACAAAGCACATAGATATTTTTATACTATTTATGCGTTGATATAGTTAAATATCGAGTTACATGACTTTCTTTGTGGACCCATAATCAACGATTATGATACGAGACATCTATTGATTTTCTGCATCATAACTCTCATCAGGGATCACATGGGTACATATGTATAGTTTAGAGACAAATTTATCTAGAACAGACCGACAACAATTTGTTTGGCTGCACTTCTGTGGAGCCCAGCAGCGGCTGCTGCTGCACAAAATCAGAGCAAAATACTGTAGCAGTGTCTAATGGAGACAGCAAGCTGCAGCCGCAACTCACAGTTTAATTGGTTAGACAATTTGGTTAAGATTTGCTAGTAATAAAATAACTTTTTTCCTAATCAACCAAATTGCATTAACGAAATTTTTTATTTTTCTTAGGAAAGAGGTCCGAGTTCAAAGATCCATAGTATTATTTTTCTAATTTTTTAATATTTATTATGAAAAAATAGAAAAAGTTAGTAAGGTAGAAATTCGGACAAAACCAAACAAAAAAAACTAACGTGGACAAAAAGAACAAAAAGACGCAAACAAAAAGGAAACGGAACAGATGTAAAGACGCGAAAAAAAGAAACGGAAACACAACGTGAAGAAAAACAAAGGCAAAAGGAAAAACAGGAAACGGAAATAGATTTTTAAAAAATAAAGGAAAAAAAGAACAACCGGGATAGATACGGTACAGAATAGAAAACGGAAAAAAGAGGAAAAAGGAAAACCAGGATGGACACGTTACCGGATGGGCACGAAACGAAATTGGGAAAAAAAAACCGAGACGAGTGTCCTACTTTCGGATCTTGCAGGGAAAGAAGGAATAGGAGACACACTCCTATTTGGCGCTGACAGTAATTAACAATGCAGTAGAACGAGGTTGATGGACGAGCATATGAGCACGACTTATGAATCCAGGTAGATACACAACTCAATGCGTTTTAGAATTGGACTCTGTATCACGCTAGACAAAACATATTCTATCTCATGAGCATGGGATATATATATATATATATAGTGCGGACGGAAAAAAAAACTCTCAATTATCCGGTAGTTAAAGGAGGTGGACAAAAAAATGACTAGAATTTTTGTCTCTTTATTATTAGATATAGATATACTCTTACGAGCACTTGGGAACATGCCTCCGGCCGGTTATGATTACGATCCTGCAAATTTCACATGAATGAAGGCATACAAAAATTATCTGAATATCGTATGTTTTCTTTAAAGTCCTGGAGGCCGGGTAATTTGTTTGTTTAGCCTTCCTGCCATTTTCGAATTCGAGTCCTTTGCCACATATCGTATGGTTCGATCCATTGCAGGTAGAGCCAAATTTATTTGAATATTATCTGTTTTCTTTAAAGTCTCAGAGGCGGCTAGTTTTGTTTGTTTAGCCTTCCTCCTATTTTCAAGTTCAGAGTTCTCTGCCACATATGGTTCGGTTCATTGCACGCAGAGCCCGCTTTGAGTTTAGAGTTCTCTGCCACATATCATATGGTTCGGTTCATTGCACGCAGAGCCTGTGCTAGAGTTTCTCAAAAATATGTCAAAACAAAAGGATATGTCTAGCTAATAACTGGCTGTTTTAGGTCCTCCCAATAACCAGATTTTTATCCATACACTTACACTATCTTATAGTTATATTTACACTGTCTTATTACTATATTTACAATGATTTCTTCAGTGTAATTCCTCAAAAATATGTCAAAAAAAATATATGTCTAGCCAACAACTGGTTGTTTTATGCCCTCCCAACAACCAAATTTTTGCTCATACATTTACACTGTCTTATAGCTATATTTACACTGCCTTATTACTATATTTATAATGATTTCTTCAGTGTAATTTATTGAACAGAGTGATGCAATTTGAAGATAACATAACTTCTACTTCTATGGATTGTAGATCTCAAATAAATATATAAGATTTTTTAGAAAAATTTATAAATTATTTCTATACACTGCAAATACCGGAGAAATGTGTCAAATTTTGTTCACAAATTTCAGAAGAGCTCCCTCCATTGGCGTCCAGGCTGACCCCGCACAACTGGAGCGTCGTCGCGCAGCCCCCAGGTGCACCACAGGCCGGCGCCGACCTCAGACCGCAATCGCTCGGGCGCCAGCGGCCTCACCGGCAAGGAGACCGCCGCGTGGTTCCCAGACACCCTCGACGACGCGCTCGAGAAGGCCGACGCCCCGCAACACGGGGGCCCTAGCTTGCCGCCGCCGCCGGTTGGGAGCAGCGGCGGCGTCAACATCTGCTCGACCTTCTACGGCAGCAACCAGGTGCCCAGGACGCCGGCAGGGACCAGCAAGAAGGACGCGGCCTTGCAGTTGGAGGTGCGTGCGGATGTGTGTCAGATCCAGATCGAACGGCGTAAAAATCGGTTGTGCACGACCAGCAAAACAACGGCGTGAAAATCGGTTGCCCATGACCAGCAAAACAACCGGATGTTTACAAATTGTTCATCGAGCTCCCTCCATTGGCGTCCGCGCTGACCCCATCGAGCTGTTGTGGCACAACTGGAGCGTCGTCGCGCAGCCCCAGGCGCACCACAGGCCGGCGCTGCCCTCCGACCGCGACCGCTCGGGCGCCAGTGGCCTCACCGGCGAGGAGACCGCCGCGTGGTTCCCAGACACCCTCGACGACGCGCTCGAGAAAGCCGACGCCCCGCAACACGAGGGCCCTAGCTTGTGCCGCCGCCGCCGGCTGGGAGCAGCGGTGGCGTCAACATCTGCTCAACCTTCTGCGGCAGGTTACATTCCTAATGCTAGAAGATCGAGCCCATCGCTTCGAGCGAGCTCCCTGAGCTAGTCAGCACCTGAAGGCTGTGCACTTTGCCCAGGCTCAAACTCGCAAGCCCAGGCCGCTCACCAACTCCTTTGTCCTCCTGAAGCCGGAGTCACAGGCGCGCGCTGCCGCGCCTGGCTGCTCCGTTCCCTTCGCTTATAAGTCGTACTTTTTTAGTCAACTCTTCTCTTATAACAAATCAGCCAATGATATTTTCAGCCATGGCTTATCAGCCAAAAAAACGGGGCAATGGCTCGGGCAGCGTGCCTCTTGTACCGCTTGCTTTGCTGGCGATTGCCAGTACGGGACTAAACCAGAGGCGAGATCGGGGCCTGCACGGCTGCACCTGCAGATCGGGCGGAGGCTTTCTGGCTTTCGGCCAGGCATCAGGCACGCATATTTGTGATCCTGCAAATTTCAGATGAATGAATGGAGTCTTACAAAACTTAACCGAATTTCGTCTAGTTTTCTTTAAAAGTCCCGGAGGCCGGCTATCTTGTTCGGCCTTCCTCCATTTTCGAATTCAGAGAGCCCTCTCTGCCACGAATATGCGGGCATCATATGCTTCCCCGCTAGAGTTTCCCGCCCGCGCGCGCCTCGTCGGCATCGGGGTCGGGCCCGACGACCCTGCTCCAGAACCAGTGCGCGCGCCACACCCGGCCCACCTGCTCGATGGGCACCCCCTTCGTCTCCGGCAGCAGTAGGTACACGAACGCGGTCATGGCGGCGAGCCACGCGGCGAAGAAGAAGAAGATGCCGGCCTTCATGTGGCACAGCATGGACAGGAACGCCTGCGCCACGAACACGGTGAACGCGAAGCTCACGGCCACCGTGACGCTCTGCCCGGCGGCGCGCACCTCCAGCGGGAAGATCTCGCTGGGCACCAGCCACCCGAGCGGGCCCCAGGACCAGCCGAACCCGGCCACGTACACGGCGATGAGCAGGATGAGCACCCCGGCCCAGCCTTTGCCCACGCCGCCGCTGTCCCGCAGCTCCGCGGCCATGATGGCGCCGATCAGCACCTGCGACGCCAGCATCTGCGCGCCGCCGACCAGGAACAGCGTGCGGCGCCCGAAGCGGTCCACGGCGAGCATGGACGCGAAGGTGGATCCCACGCCCACCACGCCCGTCACTACCGCCGACAGCAGCGACGCGCTCTCGCCCATGCCGATGGTGCGCAGCAGCTCCGGCGCGTAGAACGCGATCGCGTTGATCCCCGTCACCTGCTGGAAGAAAGGGATCGCCACCGCCATCACCAGCTGCGGCCGGTACCGCCGCTCCACGAGGAGCCGACGCAGGCCGTCCCCTCCGGCCCCGTCTTCCCCCGCCGACGCCGCCGCGGCGACAATGTCGTCCAGCTCTTCGCCCACGTCGACGCCGGCGCCGCGGACCTTCTGCAGCAGACGCGCCACGTCGTGGCGGTCCCTGCCCTGCTGCACCAGGCTGTTCGGCGTCTCGGGGAGGAACAGCGCGCCGAGGGTGAGGAGCCCCGCGGGGACCGCGGCGAGCGCCAGCGACACGCGCCAACCCCACCCGCCCCTGATCTTCTCCGTGCCGAAGTTGATCACGTTCGCCGCCAGCGCGCCGACCCCGACGCTGAGCTGGAACCCGTTGCTGAACGCGCCGCGGAGCCGGGCCGGCGCCATCTCCGACAGGTACAGCGGCACGGCCTGGTTGGCGAAGCCGAGCCCGACGCCCAGGAGCACCCGCCCCAGGATAACCATGTAGATGTTCACGGACGCGCCGCCCACGGCCGCGCCCGCCAGGAACGCGGCGCCGCCCAGGACCATGGACGCCCTGCGGCCGCGCCCCGCCGTGACCCGCGCCGCCAGGAACGTGGTCAGCAGGCCCGCCACGTACAGCGACGACGTGAAGGCCGTCAGCAGCTGGCTGTCGAACTTGCAGTAGTTGCTCACCCGCGTGTCGCCGTGCATCCGGCGGTACACGTCCGGGAAGAACTTGCGCAGGAACGGCTCCATCGACGACACGCCGCCTGCATACGCGACAGCGCGAGTGCCGTTGTTCACACGTCAGTCACCGTGGGACATGGGACGACGACCTTGCTGCTACTTGTTACTCATGGTGGCATCCATTTTTTACCTGCGATCCCGATGTCGTAGCCGAAGATGACACCGCCCATGCCGGCGGTCATGCAGGACAGCACGACGAAGGCGGTGATCCTTCCGCCGTAGCGGCGGTCCTGGCCGCCCTCGACGGCGACGACGCCTACCGCCATGGCTGATCAGAGATCAGACTAGACTACCAGAGCTGCTTGCTCGCACTCGCAGTGAAGGACAAGTGATTTTATCTTGTTGCAGCTGTGGAAGCGTGGTATAGTAGGTGACTTGTAGTAGTCATGGTTGACTAGCCGGAGAGGAGATCCGATGTCGACCAATTGGAGTATGCGACCATCTCGTCCTTGTTTGGACCACATGAACCATAGCTTGAACAGGGTACGCAGTGGGCAGGGCAGCACAGAGACAGAGGTGCCACTCGGCCGTTGCTATCTGCAAACGATTGGTATGCTGACTAGTTTGTGCACACGATACTACTATTCTACAGGTTTTGCTGACTAGTTTGAGGCTGATGCAGACTGCCTCGTGTGCTTGTGCACTAGACTAAACAAATCAAGGTATTAGTAGTTTAGTGCTTGCTTGTTGCAACCAGACACGAGACCAATATTTAGTCCAAGAGAATCTGGGAAGATTACTACTTGCTGCAACAAATCATTCAATCTCTGAAGATTCAACTTGAAAGGCGACGTGGCTGGCGCCGGCTCAGGCATTGGATGTGGTGTTCGTGTTTGCTACCGTCGCCGGTTATTCACTTATTCAACATCCAGATAGTGCCACTTCTACAGTGAATCTGTGATGTTAAGTGACGAATTGACCTGGGAAAGGAAACAAGAAGAGCAAAATTGCCCATGAACAACAAACCACATGTGGGAAAAAAAGGAGGAAAGATTATGCTATTTAATCCAGTTATCTGAATACATGTATAAACGCATGAGTACAATTTGTGTTGTATATCATTGTATCTTTGCAATGTTACGTGTGATACAAAAAGGATAAAATGTAAAAGAAAAACAATGGATATACATATCCGTTGATGCCAAATCCTCCGGCAAATCTTCTGTACCTAGTACTCTATTGATTTTTATTACAACCGGCAATGAATAGTATCAGAATTACACTCACAACAACACAGATGATCCATGAGCCCCAACCTAGGGATCCAGTTCCTGCCATCTGATGTGTCTGAACACTAGGGTCCTGGCTTATAGATTTGAGAAGGAACTAGGCAGCTTTGGTGCTCCCTCAAAAGCCCATGCCGAGATAAGGTGATGAGCAATGGCGAAGGGTCCTGGGACGAACATTGGAGCAGGCTCACCACTTTCAACTTTAAAGTCATCAGAGAGGCTCTGCCCTTTCTCAGCACCCTTGCAAATCTGATTGACCTTGGCAGCATTTGTTCTCTGAGTTTTCTCGTATTCAGCAAACGTCAACGCTTTCTTGATGTCTTCACGGCTGTGCCATTGGGCATCTACATGCATGATAAAAGAATGGCATTTGAGATAGATATTGAAACCTTTCTGGTCATCCATTCTCTAAAAAGGATCAGCAAATTAAGCCTCATTTCTAGAGTGTATAACCTGCACACAAGCTCTGTCAAAGGGTTGCAATATACTCATACATCAGCATACTATGTCGTAGCAGACGAAGAAAACTATAATAGCAAGACTAACCACAACATAGGATAAAGGACAGACCAAACAATTATGTAGGAACAGAAAGAGAAGTTAAAGAAATGCAAGTTGAAATAAAGAAACAACCCTGGATTCCTGATGAAGTGTCAAAAATTACCTTCAAGCTCCTGCTTGTCCACTTTTATCTCCAACGATTTAGCATAAGCAAAGAAGCCCATCATTAGTTGGCAGGGCATAGTATTTGGTCCAACTGATATAATACAAGAAGACAGTTTAAGTGCAGAATACTTAGTTTGCAACTGATAACAAAAGCACTTAAATTACTGTGTAAATAATCCTATATTTTGGACATAAAAATAGTACAGACATGAAAGTACAGTTCTAATCTTCCAGTGGTATTTCCACTACTGTTTTTCCTCAGAAAACAATGACAAGACCATTACCAGGCCATGGTTGAGAACTGTGATAGACGACTTGTCCAACTTCAATGCCAGTTTCCTCCCATGTTTCTCGTCTCACTGCCTCTTCCAGGCTTTCTCCTGGCTACAAACATAACAGATGCAGTATAAGCTTCTAATAATGTTTATACTTTATAAAGAAGACAATGATCTTGTTAGCTATACTACAGACAACACACTAGCTTACATTAAGCATAAGCTTCTGGTGATATTTAACAGGAAAATAAGCTCTCTTTTAGTTTCAGGAGAGGAATCATTGTACATAGGAAAATCACTAAATTCATGGTTACAGAAGGGAAGCTGTTCATTTTCAAAATGAGACCAACCTTTTGAACCCAATACTAGCTACTTAGTTAAAATCAAGTGAAACATTTTTTGTAGGAGAAAAGTTGCATATTTAAAAATCACTCATTATGTGTGGTAGGTCAGACACTCAGTTCTCATGTATGTAGAGTTCAGTTGTTTTATGCCGGAAGGGTTATTGTCCCTTGCAGTTCAAAATTAATATGGCAGTGTAAACTTGTTATGAGCTTATCTAACCAGGACATTCTAGTATGCTGCATTCATTATTTGAACTACTTATCAGTAAATAATTGAATTTTTAAGATGAAAACTGAAATTTACTCTTGATGTTTGTGTCTCCTTCCATCTAACCCCATCCAAAATCAGTTTAAGAAAAAAAAGTGATAATAATAGAGAATTCAATGAAGCACAGAATAATAGCAACGTTAATAAGAACATTAAGCAGTTATGTACACCTCTATGAAACCAGCAAGACAACTCCACATGCGAGGCACAAATCTTGACTGGCGACTTAAGAGCGCCCGATCATTTTCTTTATCAATGACCAACATGATTACAACCTGCAATACCACGTGCAGAAAGAAAAGGGTGAATACCTTATTGTCAGTTTGAGCATCTCTACTTCTCTAGTTCTCTACGGAGTACAGGATAAGAAATGGTGGCTGGAAGCACAACGTGTAGCCCCAAAATCCATATACAAATACTGCACAAAAGAGAGGAACTGAGGAAGAGAGGACAAATCATACCGGATCAATTCGAGGGTATATCCTCTTCTTGCAGGACTCGTTGCTGCACTGCTTACGCTTTCCGGCTTCAGTAGGGACAGCCTTTGCTCCACAAGCTCCACAAAATTTTGCCGTGCTGTGCCATTCGAGCAGCGCTCGAGCCTGCTCGAAATTCAGAAATCAGATCGAGCATCTTCTTCGAGTCATCGGTCAAAGATACAGCGCTAAATTACAAGAATGGTTAAACAAGAACTGAAGAAGTAAGAATCCTGCATACATGTCCTGCGATGGCGAGCTCCCCCATGGCATCCTTGTCGCTCCAGTCCGTGGCGACCATGAGCGTCCTCAAGTCCACAAACGCCGACGGCCCATCCCCGTCCGCCGGCCCGCCGACCGTCGCTCCCTCGCCCTCGCTGACGTCGACCGCCCAGTACGCGGCGGCCTCCTTGCCGCCCCCCTTGACGTGTGCGCCCAGGAAGACGAAGGCGTCCGGGGCGAACCCGGGGACGCGGGACGGCGGGAGCCACGCGAGGCACCAGGCCGGCGCCGCGGAGGCGGCGGAGGCGGGAGGAGGGTCCGTGGAGCGCGCGAGCGGGCGGCCCCGGCGGAAAGGTAGGATCTTGGAGAGGTACGGCTGGGGATTGGCGGTGGCGGCGGAGCTGGGGTCGAGGAGGGAGCGGAGGGCCTCGGCGGCAGTGGAGGGCGAGACGGCGGTGGTGGCGGCGGAGACTCCACGCAGAGGGTTGGCCGCGAAGGCGTGGGCGCGGAGGTGGATTGCCATGGCGGTGGCGGGTGCGCAGGGCTTCGGGGTAGCTGCAGCTGACGGCTCCACTGCCGTTTCCTTCCCGGCAAGGCCGCAGGGGTTGGTGCAGCCGTGAAGGCAAGCCAGTTGGATTTGGATCACTGGACGGAGACGGCGTGTGTCGATGCCATGTGGGGCCAGAACGACAGGTTGTGGGTTGCGGCAACATGCACCCATGGGCCATCGTCAACTGTACATGGGCCGACGGAATTAACAGCCCATTTAGATCTGAAACTGGGACAAAAAGGCCGTTTATCGTGCACCCGCTTGTGGGCCCACGATCGACCTCCTGACAGGCCCATTTTGATTTTTTTTATCTTTTCAAAGAAATTGAACTTCAAAATCTAAATTTAAATTAAATATTTGGTCCACTACGAAATTAAATCCATGGGTTAGATCAGTAAATCACTAGCATTAGTGGTGGTTCCATAATAATATGTTTGAAAATGGTTAAAATACGGCGGAAGTTGATACAGTGACGATGCCAGCCAATGACTGCTTGACGTAGAAGTGGCTCTAGCCGACATGTGTGGGATTTGTGATGATGGTTTAGGGTAAAAAAAAAATGGACTATGGGTTCACAAGAAAAAGTAAGATAATTGAAAAGTTTAATATATATAAGAGAGCCAAGGAACTAAATAATTGGTCAGAGACTTGGATAATAGTTTTATCAAGTAAGGGAGCTCATTAAGAGAAAATTGAAGGGTGCCTTGATTTGACCTCAAAATGTTTTTAAGTAAAAAACAAATTAATCAAAAAAGCTAGGTAACTGAGTTATTTGTGCAGGCAACCTAGCTAGTAATCTAGGCGAAGGGTTACAATTCATCATTGATACAAAATGGTCAAATTTGCTGCGCCGGAAACGATTTACAGTTGCGCCAATGCTCCTCACTGCTTCCAAGTTTTAATTTCAAACACATGCACGAGCATGCCCCGAGGCCCCCAACATGCCTTCTTTCCGCCTGTTCGCCTGGCTTATAAGCGCGTATTTAGTTTCATGAATTTGGGATTTTGGGCTACTATAGTACTTTTGTTTTTATTTGGCAAATAGTGTTCAAATATGGACTAATTAGGCTCAAAACGTTCGTCTCACAATTTCCCACCAAACTGTGCAATTAGTTTTTTTTCGTCTACATTTAATGCTCCATGCACGGGCCGCAAACATTCGATGTGACAGGTACTGTAGCACTTTTGGGGATTTTGGGTTCAAACTAAACACGCGCTAAGCCGTATTTTTTTCAGCCAACGAATAATATTTTTCTTTCATAACAAATCAGACAACAGTACTTTTAACTATGGCTTATCAGCCAAGCGAACAGGGCAGTTCCTCCATAGTAAATCATGCATCGGATTTTTTTTTAGAATTTTAGGGCCGAGCCTTAAAAAAATTAAAAAATCAAAAATATCTTAGTTAGAACGACCAAAAAACTAAAAATATGTTTACAGCTCAAAAGTTAACCACCAATAACTGAAAGTTACAGTAGGCAACTCAACACTCTGGAAATGAGGCTACACCCACCGAAACTTCTCTCATAACCGAAAAGCTACACCTAACCTACTACAAGTTTATCAGACCACCAAATTTCTCTAGAAATTAGAGAAACACCACCGTAGGTACATTCCTTGAGACTAGAAACTCACGACATTCTTCTAGATCTCCAGCACCAGTCATTCCATGCACCTCGCCGTCCAAAGAGATGAAACCCACTTGGCTTGGTGAAGTAATACAATTATGAATCAAAAACCTCTTATTACACAGCCACATACTACCAATAGAACCAAAATCACCCCCTATCTGTACTCTGAGCAGTTTATTTACAAATAATGTACCAAAGTTGTTTTGCCACCACAGTCAAATAAGGTAGATATATACATTCTCGCCGAAAAAAAAAACATCTAGGATCTTCTACTTTTCTTCTTTTACCTAGATTATATCTCTACTTTTCTTCGTTTGCCTAGATTATCTCTGTGTTAGAACTTTATTTTGACAAAGCAACTATAAGAAGTGAATTCTAGGTGGCACATTTAGACTCCACACTACTGGGCTTTGAATTGGAAAGATACTAAAAAAATCACCGCTGCATGGGACAACTGTAGAGAAATCATGGGAGAAAACTCTTCTAATCCCCTAGGGCGCCGCTAAGGCGTGTTATATTAAACTTTTCTCTACCTTAATACAAAGACGGATAAACTTTTTATGTGATCGAGAAAAAAACTGATTTTCCAGAGAAAGCCGTCTGATTTCTTGATATCGATAACTGGGTTTACCGTCGGCCTCCGGTATATACTTCTTTACCCACAAGCAATGCAAATCAGGTCAGCACAACATCCTCTCAAAGTGTCATATCCTGACTGTAAAATGTTTACGAATACATGCTTGGCATAAACAAACTGACCGTGCCATGATCCACGCTAGTAAACCACACAGGTTTCAAGACCAGCAAAACATTGAACAATAACACCAACAGAGTATAGATAAGCAAACACTTATTAGATAATTATATATGCTGTTTAAGACCAACACACAATGCAAGTACATTATCAAGCCGTACAATTCAGCAGTCACTTAATCAACACAACCTCAAAAAAGAGCAAACACACACGTAACAGTTGTTGCGCTTGGGTACTTCTCCACCCTTGCAACCACAACCACAGCAGCGGTACTACGCTTGGCAATCAACAATATACTCGTGTACGTAGCAGACTCATCCTTCTTGGATGCCTGATGGTGAGTGTGTGACAGCAGTTGGTTCCATTGCTCGGCCAGCTCGTCACATCTCACGGTCTTGGTATCACCTCGGTCGCCTCTTACTTCCCGGTGCCTGCTACACAGCAGAACAATTCCGTTTTTGAGGACGCAGAGCATCAGCAGAGCAGATTAAAAGGTCTCTTCGAAGTGAAAAGATGCATCAACATTTTGAAAGAATAAAATGAAAGATCAAAAAGGCACTTCACCAGGCATCAGGATTGATTGATTAGATAGGTAGCATCTAATAGATTAATCATTGTTGTAAGATTTTAATGTGCTTTTCTAGACTGATCATTGCATGCAAACTTAACTGAAGACGCATATAAAAATGACACAAAATTTGAAATCTTAGTTGTATACTGACGAAGACATATACCTGCCTCCCTTGGTCCATTGCACCTATAGCACTCCATCCTACTAGCAAAGTTGTGCACGTTGCAACCAGGCCTGGCCAAAGTAGAGAAACACAGTATATTAACGTCTGTGTCAAGACAATTTCCAAGCAAACCCATAAGATCAACTTCTATGAACTGCTGCTGTTTAATCAGCATTCAGCATAAAACACACATGCATGCCACTGTTTCTTGCCATGCATACGAAGGCATTCCTTCATCTTACTGAAAGGAAGCAGAAATAGTCTGATCACCTTGTGCAGATCCAGTCGCCAGCTTTCCACCCAGCACGAACTGCGGCGCTGTCGCGTCCGCGAGCAAAGTCACCCTCAGCGCCGCCTGCACCTTGTCCTGCTGGGAAGTCCCTGACAATGGTGCCGCACTTGAAGCAGCTGCTGCGGCTGGCAAAGTTGTGGTAACCGCAGCTGCAGTACCAGTCACCTGGGCGGATGTCCAGGGAGGTCAGCACACCACCCGTGCTATAGCCGTCACTGAACTGCAAGTCAGGGCGTGGGTCACGGCAACGCTGACAGTAATCACGGCGGCTGAAGTTGAGGTGCTGACAGTTCTTGCAGTTCCAGTCTCCAGGCTTCCTCTGGATGTTCATTCGCAGTCAACAGCTAGCCCTGCATACCATGCATGTGTCAACAAGTTGTGGAGTGTAGTTCAGAACATAACAAAACAAATGTATACCAAACCTAAAGGCAACTAGACGTTTCTTCATATATATCTGTATGATATATGAGCAGACATTACAGAAACAACCTTGATGTGTCTGTATGATATATGAGCAGACATTACAGAAACAACCTTGATGTGTTGCAATATTATCATTATACACAGGAATATACCAGTCACCTATGCAATGATGGTCTAGCTAGATGGGAGCTAGAAGACCGAGAATTAGAGGCCCTATGATCTTTTTGGCCTTTGTTAGATGCTTGTACGACATGCAATCACAAACTAAAAAAGAAAGAATATTTTAAGGGAAGATAACAGACATGGAGAAAGAGATTAAGCAAAAGCTGCCTTAAAATAGGCTTAAACTTGACCAAAAGGACACCCTAATCAACCATTTGGACATACACTTAAATCTATTATGTTTCCAAGTTAGTGTACCAACTGAAAAGGAAGTAAAAGCCCATGCAAGGGAAAACTAATTATTCCAAGGACATATCTGATGGAAATTAGTAAAGGGCAGACCCAGTGCCAGAGGCTCCCACATGAGTGGGGTCTGGGGAAGGGAAAAACCGAGGCAAGCCTTCCCCCCGCAAATCTGCAGAGAGGCTGCTTCGAACCCACGACCTGGTGACTCAGTGAGACAGCTCTCACCACTACACCAGGTCTGCCCTTCATCTGATGGAAATTAGTAAAGCAATCAATTAAATTGCATATATCATGCATCACAAGGAGCAAATCACACTTGCACATAACTTATTTAAATTGAAAGTAGACTTTTTAGACAAACTAGCTGTAGATTTAATAGCCATAAAGGACATACTTTATTATGAAGGAGAATGGACAATCAATAGAGTTGTCATAGTGACAGTCTAATACATGGGCATAAGAACGAGGAACAAGAAGTGATGCATACTCTGTGAACTTGCAAAGTCTCTTGTAGTTGTTTGTTCTTGGTACTAGGGTTTCAGTTGCTGTGTTGTCCTTGTCTGCTTGCTTGCTGGCTGGTTGTGTTCATTCCTTGTAGCTGGCTGCCCTTTTATAGTGGAGGGACCTCAATAATTGCGAATCCAGGGTTTGCTGTGGAGGCACGGAGATGCTTTGATCTTAGCCTTTCTAACTGAGCTATCCAAATCGAACAAGAGTATGAGATGAAATCAGAAACGAGAAAGGAAAATATGCAAAAGGAAAGTGATGCTAAAGAAAGCAGGATTTCACAGTGTTACATATTGTATCTACACCATGGAATATTAATATTACTTCTGAAAACATATTCTATATAAACTATCACAAAATAAATCAAATAGTACTCTGTTTCCATATACTTGGCCACTTTGACTTTTTGTTTAAAGTCAAATTTTGACATATGCATACGCAAATTAAAGCATATACTCCCTCCGGTCATTAAAAGAAGATGTTTAAGACAGCCTACATAGACTGCATGTAGTGCAATTTAACTGTCATAAGTCTTTCTTTTGATGACCAGAGGGAGTAATATCTTTAAAGCACCTTTTATCACAATTTTTTTTCCCGATAGCAGAAGATTTATTCAGAATTTCAATAGCGATACATCAGGTTGATACATGGTATGATCACAAATCTATTATCACTATTGTTCTCTCTTTAATTAATTGAACATATACTCAGTCAAAAACTCAAAGTTGGTACAGTAAAAGTTCCCAAGTATTCTGAAACGGAGGGAGTAATTGACCTCAGCAATATGAGATATAGTAAGGAACTATTTGTGATGAGAACATTTGTAGGTGGTTAGACAAAACATAAAGCAGTTAAGTAGTTCATATAACTAGATGATGCCAAACAAATTTTGTATTGGCACGTATAGCCCATTATTATAACATAACTTAGATTTAAATCTTGAGGCAGGGCTACACCTACAACTGAGCGCAGTTGTGAATTTGTGATTGAGCAGGCAGGGCAACACACATGCAACGGCAGCGAAAAGATTTTTGCATGCAAATGGTGCCTAACACACATTGCAGAATGGTCTGCAACCAAACCAGTTAAACCAAAAGAATATTGTCAAATTTATCATCTTTCATACAAATATGTAAGTTGCTTCAACACTTGAAATAAGCACAAACAGAAGTTGACTTCCTGGATATTCCTACACATGAGAGTAACGATTTCCGTTACAAGGTTAATGGAAATGGGGTTACCTCGTGTTGAAAAAAAATAAGAGTAACGATTTACATTGATGAAATGATCTGATCAAAGAGAAATGTTTTTTGTTCTCTCTCTCTCTCTCTATATATATATATTCTTGCCCTCCTTTCTTCAGATTTTGGCGGAGTAACTATCGTTTAAGCTATCCAAGGACAATATCTTTAATAATTTCCATGCGACATAGGTGCGAGGATCGAGGAACATATTTCTTTATACTTTGATTCTTCCGCCAAATATATACTGGTGGAGGTGCATATCTAGCAATGATGCACACTTCGTGTGGCTAAGAGAAATCCTGATGTTCCCAGTTGTGACCAAAGTGCTACATCATCTGAGGAATTATTAGAACAAAAGATAAAGTAAATCAAGAAAAGAGGCTAACAAAACACAAATAAGATCGTGATGAATCTATATTCATTCATCTAAAAAATAGAAGTTTTGAACAAGACAACATGCTCCCAGGATTTTTTTTAGCAATTTTAGTTAAATTAACCTTTAGTATTTCTCTTATTATGAATTGAAGATGGTTTGCTTTATACACAACGGGGCTCACTGAAAGACAACATAAAATCATCCAGCTAAATTTCTGGATAGTAAAATTACATTGTTAAACTATCATTTTTCGAATTTTGTTAAGTCATGCAATCTGCTTTGATTATGGAATCTTTCCCAACCTTTGCCCTGTAGTGTGGAAGAACGGAATAAAATAAATTGTTCACTAATGGAGCCAAAGTAGCTAAGTATGAGTAACTTATTGAAACTATCGACAAGATTTTGTGAATTGATGATCAAATTAACAGTTTGATAGTAAGGTTATTACTTGAAGACAAAAAAGGGAAGACAGGTGAAGCTTCTTTTTTCTTCAGTAAATCTTTTGCCCTTTGACTAATATAATCGACGATTTGTGTTGCTTGTCCATTCTAGATGCTAAGCTGCCCCTAAAAGATAGTACTAAAGTTGGCTAGATGTTTAGTTATATGCTGGGGGCAGATGGACATAACAACAGATTGACGGTATTATTGGGGTTAAATATATATAGCCTTTTGAGAATCAATTCCCCACATACGTGCATGATCTTTAGTCATTCACAAAACCTATTCTGATATACATATATTCTCCCAAATCACACTTTTCACAATAATTCAAGAGGTTCCATGTTCAACCCCAGTCAGCCATCCGTACTGTCATTTGCTAGGAAAGCATCTCCTTTCATTATCCTATTCAGAATTTCGATTAGTACTTCTGTTCATCTCCTGCTGTTGTTATTCAGGACACAAACCAAACTAGTCTTATAACATGAACAACTCTGTTTCTTAGCAACAAAATAAGAGCAGTTGGGGAATATACTATAGAAGTTGAATTACTTTGACTAAATATTGCATTCTCGAAGAGGGAATATGTATGATGGCCATCAAATGATATGGCTCCCACCAAGGCACAAAGCATTTACGGACTTCCTAAAAAGGGTCTAGTTATCAAACTTGCAAGTTCACATGGATTGTCTAATTTAGAATGAATATGCTTGAATCAGCTCTGGTATATATTTCTTTCCACTGCAATTATTCCTACGTGTTACAGCTGATGGATGTCGATGTATTCCATGTCAATGCATAGCATTGCATCACAGAGGAAAATATTGACAAACAAGGAAAATCAGGTCTAATGTCTGAGTATCCACCTTCCCCTCCCACCAATCACACATAGACACATCAGTAGGGTTTTCCCACGGTAATCCCCAAAAAGAACACTCACATATCGTTATCACACCCAGTAACTTGGATTCTTCAGCAGCATCTACAGACGCTAGAGCAAGCCAGCAAGGTTATGCCGACGCTTCTGGCGGTGCTGACTTGAGGAGGCATCAATTCGACGCGGAAGTGCAGAAAGCAAAAGATCATGCTTCTTTGTTATCAGTTGCAAATACTGTTTCCACTAGATCATGTTGGTTTACGATTCATAGAATGGAGATCAGCAGGGCAAATTAGAAGCCCAACTTGACCTGGTGGAGGTGAAGTTCAGCCCGCGTCGCAACTAAATAGCACTCAACTTTCTGAAAAAAGGCAAAAAGATGCCAAGGTTCTAATTCCAGATAAATTTTATCTGCAACTATTGTTCCCCGTGTCGCGAGAATAATGTCCCCTAACTACCTGTTCCCTGAGAGGGAGCTCACATATGCAGCGTCCAGTTGCTGTATTCATAACAATATAACAGATGGAACATAAATTCTGCATGTCGGTGGTCTTCTCTAAAGGTACATTATAGTTGCTGATTTGAAGTTTGGAACCCTTGGACGCGCGATTTCTATTGAATAGACAAATTGACACGAACGAAAAGCTTATGGTTTATGAAATGAATGAAATTATAAAAAGAAAAAGAACGGTAGCAAATCTTCGTCAGTCTTTTTTATTCCCTTTATCCTAAAGCCCACGGAAAGCAGCAGAACCCAGAAAGTAGCAAAAGAGGAAAGAAGAATGCCAGGGTCAGTTCATCCTTTTACAGCATCTCGCTCTTTTGCACTCAGAGAGTGAAGAGGAAAAGAAAACGCAGCACAACTTTTGACGGTGATGAAGAGTGGCGGTTGAATACCTGAGGCTTGTTCTGTTACCGTCGTGTCGTGGATATTCAAAGCGGAGGCTTGGGGGGCAGGGAAGCCGCGAGCGCGACTCCTCGCGCTGCCTCATCCCTGCGGGCGGCAGCCGCGGCCCAGCGCGGACAACCGCCGGCGGTCGGACTCGGAGCGAGGGA